AAAATGATACATGCTGAATAAAAGTCAATTCCTTGTCAGTGAGCTGTATTTTATCAGTGACAACACTACATTAAAACTTTGGTCTATAACAACACACACTTTATATACAAACAGATGCTCATTACTTAATTCTTGTTTCAAAACTGTTGAACTCCGAAAACAGTTTGTGCACCTTGTATTATGATCTGTATATTCCATAAAAAAGATGTTGCTTTTTTTGCCTTCAAGAGTGTTTATAAGTAAATTTGGACGGACCAACAGACATGGGTAATGCTTGTATACACCACCTCCGCACCCATTTCTAGCTAAGCATTAACTTGAGGGTTGCTGATCAAAAACTTTAAAGCATCCTTTCAAGAAGGTAGAATTAAGCTGGGGTCCCTATCCACAATAACAGATGAACTGTAAAAAAGCCATAAAAGCAAGTTTTTAAGAGACAGAAATCCTCCAAAAGGGAAATGCCATAATAGAGATACACATAGCAGAACACAAGAAACATTTAAATAAAATAAAAATTGAATTGAAAAGTGTGACATAAACAAAAACTTACTTCTTGCACAACTTTTTGTTGAAACAAATGAGCTAAAGAAGTCATGCGTGGAATATCTTTTAAGATCTGTAAAGAAACATGGCTCATCTAGCACAAAATAAAAAAAAATCCCCTGAAGTACCATTAATAGGATAAAGAAAAATCAATTTAAGACAACCATCTAAATCTCTACAGTAATTTTTCTTCACCGCTATTGATGATACTTCCACCAAATAGCAACATTGAGTAGTATTGATGAACATTTTCACTAAAAAATCTATTTTTTTTACAAAATTTAGTTTATATTATTCTAATCTGGTTGATCATCAGACTACAAGAGATTGTAAAGCGGATACTGATTGTATCACTTTGCACCATTCCAATTTTCAACCAGATGTTTAGGGTTCTTGAAAATACACTAAAACAAACGCTTCATGATGTCACTATCATAAAAGATGCAAATGATATAATAGAACATAATAAAACAACTAGTTTGAGTGGAATTATTAAAACCACAGACGTTTCACTGGAATGACACAAATAGATCTTATTAGTGTTCATGTTCAAGCTCGTAGTCTAAAAACGACAGGTTGAGCATTTTTGATCAGAAAATTCAAACATGTGATCCCAAAAGCCAGTTTTCAAAGGTTGACAATTGAAAATGAAAATGTTCATCAAGCAAACATTGACAATGACAATATGAAAGGGGGGAAAAAGACAATTAAAACATGCAGCTATAGTATTGGGCTGATATTACTCACTTGTTGTACTAATTTTTGTTGAAAGATAGGAATGAGAGGGTTCATTCGAGGAATGTCTATATGTATCTGTATAAAATAAAATCAATCATGTTGGCAGAAAGTCTTGGAGGATAGTCTTACAGGAATCTTAATATCAAAGCACTAATCTAAGTGAGTAAATAGTAAAGGTTGAACCTACATTACTTTGGGACCCCCAAGATGACAATCACAGACTAATTTCGAAATACAAACTCAAAACTGATAGCCTCTTTTAAACATAATGAATTTTATGGTAAATTATGTCTTTGTAGAAACTACAAAATCATGGATTAATCGCGGAGACAGGAGAGCAAGTACAACTTGAGAGGCAGGCAAATTTTATATGATGTTTTTTTTTTTCATGGGACATAAATTCATGAATGTTTTTTATGATGAATGATAAGATGAAAGGGACAGATTCGCCATTTTTTGGGGGTTGATTTGAGTCTTGAATATATGAAAATAGTTAAGCATTCAGAAGTATTAGAAAATCGCATAATTCCTTCAAAAATATCCTAAACTAGGAATTTCTTTCCTTTTTCTATAGATGCCTTTTTTAAAAAAAAAGACTTGTCTTTTTAACTTTCCAATGCAGATAACTCCCGACTCAGGTTTGAAGGCTCAAATTTCGACAGTGAGCTGTGAACACTGATTGGCTTTGCTAAAAATTTTAATTTTTTAGACTAAGATTCGATTGGTAAAAAAAGAATAGCACATCTGTCCCTTTAAGTGATGCTGTTTCAGTTTTTTTTATTGAATACGCTTTGAAGAATTTAAACAGATAACTGGGACACCATGTTGTGTCCATGCCATACTAATGCAATACAAACCTGTCTAAAAGTTTCAGCATGTAATTCTTGATATCTAGTATCATAATATTGCTCTATAAAACCAAAATATTCATTTCGTTTTCTTTCTAATGTGGCTTCTCTTCGATCCAGGCTCGGAGGAAGGTAACCCTATAACAAAGGATATATCTTTCAAATTTTACTACTTGGACGTGTGAAACGTTGAATAAAAATAAGCATACACCTTCAATTTCATTCTGCAAAAAGCGTTTAGATTTTTGGATGAGACAGTAGCAAACAAATAAACTCAGTCATGATAAAATTTCCCTCATTGAAAACAGTATGGCGTTGTATGTACTCATTATAACAAACAGGTACAAACAAGTAGTATGTTAAACTCCATTTCATTTCAATGATATGAGCTAAGTTTTTAAACGGTCAAAATACTTACAGAAAGAATTTTCCACGCTGTTGGACGAACACTTTTTGGTATGCCTGACCAACATAAACTTCTTAACTGATCTGTAATAAATACAGAACAACTGGAATAATTTACAATATCTATTTTTCATCTGAGACAATTCAAATATCAAGGTAATGGTATGACAATATTTCGGTTTTTTTCAAAACGGATAATATCACTATGAGCAAAATGAAATAAATAATAATAAAAATACAGGCATAATATAGTTGATTGGGGTGAATCCACAGAGTCAACTTAACCAACACTGACAGTGGCATTAGAATTTTCCTTGAGGAGGATTCAAACCCACTTCACTTAATAGCCTAGCAGATGATAATCTAACAAAAAGTGCCACAATGGCTCAAACCTTATTTACCCAGATCTATATTAGGTTCATCAAATAATTGTTTAAATCTATCAAGTTTTGCTGCTTCCCTATCTATGGTGGTATTTTGTGCTAGACGGATATGTGTAGACTTGGGAGGTTGATAACCACTATTTAATCGAACACCAACACCAGGCCCTGCATGATGATGATGATTTAAATTAGAACCACCACCTACAAGGTAATTGTCAATTCTTGAAGAATCAATTTGAAAAGCTTATAACTTAAAACATTGAAGAAATTCATGCTTTTATACCATAGAAAATGACTATGCATTTCTAATTTATTGAACAAAATTGAATACACCAACCAGGACATGATCTCATCAATTTACATTTCCAAAATATAACTGTATGGTTCACAGTTACTTAAATGCATAGATAAAATAAGCAATTATAAGACTATAACACTTCATAATGAAAATTCACACAGAAATTATGATCCTCTAATCCACTTACTTGATCTTATATTTGTCTTTTCATTATTATTTTGACTAAGTTTACTATGGTTATCTAAAACTGCTCTTGCAGTAGACTGGACATCTTTTAAAGATAGCTGCATGCTAGCCATGGAAATCAACTCATCATCTGCATCATCCCAGGCATCTGATGTTTGATTTTCAAAATCAGCAAAAGCATCTCTTTTTAAAGGCTTATTCTTGTCATCTTTCTTAGGTGAACTGAAATCATAACATAATCTCTGTTAAAAAAATGAAAATGTTTAAAAATATCTATAAGCAAAACAAATCATACCAATGACACTGCATTCTTGACCAAGACACAGACTAGATTTAGTTTAACACTAAAATTATTATAACCTTTGACTTTGTTGTGAACTCGTCAATTTTGACTCTGGTCATTTGTCATTTTGAATCATGTATGTTAAATCCTTGCTTAAAGCTTTAAGTAGACCAAATTTGATGGAAATATAAGAATGAGGCTAAAAAATAGCTTTCGAAAACGTCTTTGCCTATCTACCTTAAAGGTTTAGAATTCATTGGTGGGTGCTGTGCTCCATACACTGGACGTATACTGAAATATAATGTAATAACCATTTTAAAATAATGCAAAACAAATGTAGCCTAAATGGAAGTCTAAATCTTTCCTTTCTCTGGTGATAAGAGTCCATTTACAGTACACTTGCATACCACTTATCACAGTGTGAAAAGTTCATCTCAAATAGAGATTAGGATCCTACGGGTGGAGGAAAAGAAACCAGTTACTATTGACAAGCATCTAGACTAGTCACAATTCACAAGAAATGGATTGCTGAAGTTAAAGCTCGAAAAGCTGGTACAGTTAAAAGCAATTAGGCCTAATATATTGAAAAATTTTAATCTCTTAAATTAAATCAAAATATTATCATTAGTAATCAGTACAGGATCACAAAACCAATGATATAGAAATCCGGAATACGTATGTAGATATATTATATGTAATTTCATTTGTAAAAATGTAAACAAAAGTGCCCGGCTTAAACGTTTACGTTTTATTTACATACCTTCCAGGAACATTTCCAGACCTCTTCCATGGTCCTGGTTGACTTGAATTGCCCGTAGTTGACGAGCTAGAAGATGACATAGCGTTCTTGTCGCAAATTCGCTATGATGTACAATTTCACATCATTCTAAACCATTTTGCAAGGTGTGAAAATCAAAATCCTCAATGTTGTCAATATGGCTGAAGTCACTTAAGCGCATGCGTTATTGGATGTTTCGTTACATCCGGAGTAAATATTGTAAATTAAGACCAAGACGTTTCGTATTAAAAATTTCTCCCGTACGAAAATTTGTATGGTTCTTACAATGAAATAATTAATTTGAATTTAAGTAACATATTACGTATTTTCGTATGAAACGTAGGCTACCTCCGGCTTGTGTGATGTAGCACAATGCAAAACAAAATTATTTTTTTGATTGTGTGGGCATTTGTACCCTCAATGATCAGTTTTAGAAGAAAAAAATATTTATTATAATTTCCATGGATATAAATGTTCCTGTTGGATCCATTATTCTTCTTATATTTTCAGATTCTGAAGAATATGGATTTTCATTTCATATATTCAAATCATATTATAGGCCTAACTGTACAAACAATACTCTCTTACTAGATGTTAGGCTTGCATGCCTGTGCCTGTGCTTTCACAACATTACTTAACAATGTTACAACCTAAAATTCCCAATGATACCCCCGCTTCATTTGTAAAAAAAACCGCAACAGTTTGTCCCACCACTAATTCTGTTAAACTTTGCTCCCGATGTCCCCCCAAAATGACTAATAACTTCCATTAAACACATCCATTTTTAAGCCCAAGTTTCAGAAAGAATTGGAATCGAGAACAATTTGCTACATAGGTTAGGGCTTTTTGTTTATCTTAATCGTTTAATGGGTTCTTCTTTGGTTCAAAATGCATGTTAGAATTTTGATATAATGTGTCTGTTCCGTTCATGGCATTAACAAACATGATGGGATTGTATTTTATATGGTCATTCGGATGAGACAATTAAACCCTTTGCTATACATGCTGTGCACGTTATAATGCCCCTCGATATTTGTAAATCGCCAAAGAAAAGAAAAAATCCCCCAGATCCAGTTTGGATCAGTTCAATCAAAAGAAGATCTTGGTGAGATTTCTGTCAAGTTTATTTTCACTTTGAATACTTAGTGGGATTTCTCCTTTGTCATAATATATTACAGTGCATCTGTACCTAATACCCCCATTTCACCAAAGATGTTCTGATACCGAAAGTACCCGATCTAATTTTTGGAATCAATTTTGCATTAAAGTCGTGAACCTGTGAGCATTAAAGAGCAGCCCTTTACATTCGACTCAGTCCACCGAGAGTAAGGTACAGAAAGTGTGACCGGCTACTGTTTTTTTCAGTCGGCCCGATCTAGACCAGAATGTCCCCGATATCTTTAATTTTTATCGTCATGAAACGCCGCTAATCGTCCCGAATCACCCCTGATAGTCATGAATCGCCACTGATCGCCACGAATCGCCTCAGATCGTCATGGATCGCCTCTGATTTTTACCCGATTGAATACCGGCCAATGGCCCATGGTATGGGTAGGGGTAATCACGGACGTTCCGATTGACTCGTTCCTGGTACGCGAAAGTACGCGCATGTATCCTATGATACAACCAAAAGGCCCGATGGAGGCCCGCAAGTGAGCGATCTTCCCGCGTTGTTCGGTTGAGAGGCCGAAAATTGACGATCCCGGCTCTAGAGGGCACTTTCGGCCGCTCAGCTGCTGATTTCTGCTATTCTTCCATCGTTCTTTGTGCGAGAGTGGCCGAATCTATAGGCATTGATAATTTGGCACACGTCAGCACGGAGGTCGACTACCTGCGGAGTGAGGAAAGATCAAGAGTGCGGACGAGACAAGGTGAAATTCGGACGACTAAGACGACCAGGACTGAGGCGACCGAAGGTATAAGGTAGTGCTCCATAGCGCTCCTTAGTGCTCGCAGGTTCCCGACGTTTTTTGAGCAATAATGCGCCCGATCATCGGGTACAATCTGGTACAGATCGGGCCGATTGGAAAAAAAACAATATTTGCTGAAATGGGGGTTATTAACGGCACCTTTTATATCTTCGGGGTCAGCTTTAACATAATTCTGGATAGACACTGACAGAATAAAATGCCAGACTTGTGGGTTCCGAGCTGCTAGCTGTTAAATATATAGTCTTGGCTTTCATCTCTATTCCTGTGCAGTTTTTAAATGTAAAACCAAAACGGTCTGCCCCACCAATGTTAGAGGTACTGATTGAATTACACAATGACGATGTAGCCAATCCAGACGCACTACACTGATTGTCCAAACCTAACCTGACATCATACTGAGGTACCAGGCTACTATCTGAAATAGAAAAACCGGAAAATTAAAGCAGAATAATTTTAGAATGAATTTGTAGCATATCTGGAAAGTACCACGCAATCTAGATAAACCTAACATTCGATAGTATGACATAATCTAGATTTACATATGATTTGATAGTACTACATAATCTAGATGAACCTAAAATGTGGAAGCTCGACATAATCTAGATTTACCAATAAATTTGATAGTACTTAATAAACCTAAAGTATGATAGTATTTTATTATCTAGATTTACATATGATGTGATAGTACTTTAAAATCTAGATGAACCTAAAATGTGATAGAACGACATAATCTAGATTTACCAATAAAGTAATAGTACGACATAGTCTACAATGAACTTGAAATATGATCGTACGACATAATCTAGATTTACCAATAGATGCAATAGTACGACATAGTCTACAATGTACTTAAAATATGATCGTACGACATAATCTAGATTTACCAATAGTGATAGTACTTTACAATATAGATGACTTTAAAAAATGATAGTATGACATAATCTAGATTTACCTAACATGTGCAGAGTCAGAATTGCAATCGCGATAAACCAATAGATGAACCATTGGATATGATAGTACCACGAAGTGGTAAATTAAGTCTTAATCTCGATAAATCTATAATAATGATAAAACTAATGCCTTTAGCCTTTCTTCAATGCATTGTCAATTTCTTCTATTACCAAAGCTATATCATTAACCTTACCACGAATGGTTGTTTAATCTATATTTAACACTTGTAGAGTAATACATTCGTATAGATATTTCACGTACCTGTATCGACGATTATCATTCTAATGAAGAATGGTTTTGTAAGATTTGTACACCACCATTGATTCACTTGTTCTAGAGTCAAAGATTTGGTGTAAGCATCACTATCTAGTGCTTTCATCGCTACATTAGCATTACTGGTAGTGCTCTGAACACTGTGATCACTGACTTCGTTAGATCCTGAAAAGTTGTGAACAATTTAAGTTGTCAAGATCATCCAAATCATATCAAGGTACTGTTTTATTGTAATCTGGTTCATAAATACACCGACACCAGGTCTTACCCGTCATATTTTTATAGGAGTTGCTCCGACCCTTTTGGGTCACTAACTTTTGAGAATTTTCACTTTGCCAAATTTCACATAAATTTTGGTATCTATAGAGTCAAGGGGTAGGCTAAATTTGCGCATTTGTACGAAAAAGGGAAAATCCAACTTCTCAGTCTAATTAATATTAAACAAAACATTCGTTCCGGTTTTTATTAGCCTTTATTTTTAATATATCCTTTCTCTTTGATGACACAGCCAATCAAAGTCCTGTCCTCTCCAAAGCTGGGATTTTGTGACGCGAACAAATGGTGCGTTCAGTGTCTGATGCTTCTCAGAATACACTTTTTGTTTACGTCACAAAATCCAAGCCTAGGCGAAGGTAGGAATTTGATTGGCTGGTGGTCTGATCAAACAGACGAATGTTCAAGAAGGCCGTCTTTTAACCCTAACTGAAGTGACTATATTAAGAATAGAAGTTAATACTGGAACGAAAGATTGGATTAATTCTATTTTAACTGTCCTGCCCCTCGGATGCTTTGTGATACCGTGGTAGTCTTAAGTCTGTAACAACAATACAAGCTTTTGTGTGCATCATTTTGTATGAATAAGATACTCACTCTTCAGAATAAAAGTACTGACTGACTTGTTGTAACTTTTAGAATCGTCCTTCAGAATAATTCTATCATATATAAAGCATTCCCCAGTATCTTGTTGGTAAGCAAACGAAGGACAGGCTGGAGTATAAACACATAACATAGCACATTCAAGTTTTTCTCGCCCATCTTGTAAATATTGAACATAGTTATCAAACAAGTAATCTGATAGCATCAATTTAAATCCTTTATGTTTTCCACCGTTTTGACTATCCGTCTTTTGAAGCCAAAGAAGGCACATGCCTATGATGGTGAATATTCTACCCATTCGTATTCAAATTCTTCCGTAGACGATACATTTTAGTTTCAAAAGAATTGCTTGATGTCTAGATCACCAGAGGATGACGTTCTATTGTTTAATTAAACAAATAATTCATTGACAAGAAATTCCAAGAGAGTCACGTTAATGGGGGGGGGGGGGGGGGGGGGGGGGGGGGGGTTTAGCGGGTTAAAAATAAAAAAGGGGTTTGGC